AGTGTATTGACTAAAAACTATAAAACTGGTAAACTAAAAAACAATTCAAACAATCGCGAAAAATGGCAACGGCAAAGTCACAGTTGCAAGTCAATTTTAATACCTACCTGTGAAATGAAATTTTCTCGCAAGAATATCTCTTTCCTTGTGCATCCAGAACGACAGTACGACACAATATATTTGAAAAAGTGATTCTTTTCTCCACACGGGGAAGTTTTCCTTGACTTTTTTCCGACAGCGAACTCAATGCAGTAAATTTTAGGAGCAAAACAGTTTGCTCCTAAAATGTATTGCATTGAGTTGGCCATGTTTTTAGTTTTTTTTTTCGTGATTGCGTTCAAATTTATACTGGCCGTGCAACGGTTTGCAAGAGGGGGAATGAAACTGACGTCCAATCCGCGTAAGCCTGACGTTTGAGGGACTGAGACTGACGTCCAATCCGCGTGAAAGACTGGTATCGAGGCTTCATTTTTTTCGCAATCAAATGACTGAATGTTATCGTTCCAGATATATATATATATAGAGTTCACTGGATGAGACGCATGGAAAAACACTTCTAATTTTGTTGCCAAGGTAACAATGTCGTTTCCAGGCCCCTTGCGCCAATTTTATGAAACAGCTTTATTCAAGGTACTGATAAGAATAAAATAATATCAGAAGTATGTGTATGATACTTATGCATGCCAAAAGTTTACTTGCATGATAATAATTCGAAAATGACATACACATAGATAAATGCAACTAGTTATTCAAAATCAGTGTAAGAGGCCTGGGAACGACTGTGTTGCCTTGACAACGAAATTAGAAGTATTTTTCCCATGCATCTCATCATGTACTATCTGTATGCAAAATTTCATTTGATTTGAGCTAATAATAACTCAGCTATGCTTTAGTTTACTATTCAATAAACATACTTACCCAGTTTATGACGTCACAGAATGTGCTGAATCAGCAATTTATATTTTGCACATTTTTGCGTATAACTTCGGAACCAGATGAGATAGAATAGAGCAGTAAACGGCCAATCGGCTTATTTTTTCATGCTCCTTCAGATGAAGCAATAAAATCAATAAAAATTTTTGTTGCCAATACCCTTTAAATGACAAAGAAATGTGTATTTTTTAATTTTTTTCTAAATATTCACCTATGAAATTATACTAAAACAATTATTCACCTCAGGCTCGGTGATTATCGTGAATAAAAACCTCGACTTCGTCTCGGTTTTTATTCACCGATAATCACCTCGCCTTCGGCGAATAATTATCACTTATTTACTGAGACCGAGGGAAACAGTGTGTTTTGTGGACCCGAGACCGCCGTTGTTGCCCGAGGCGAAGCCGAGGGCAACAACGGCGGTCGAGGGGCCACACAACACACTGCTTTCCCGAGGTCTCCCGAGTAAATAAGTGTTTTGTTATATAGTATATAAGTGTCAAAGACTCAAAGTATGAATAATTCACCGGTTATTGGAGTGAACTTAATTTGAAACCAAAACTGGATAAATGGAACGCCGTAAATGTTTAGTAAAAAGTTTAAAAAATGAACTTTGGAACTTCATGGTTGACACGCATGCGTATTGCACCCATTTTATTATTGACCGGTCAATAAATGTTTGATTGCGGACCGGTTGCCGAACATGACGTTTTGTGGACAGGCACGTGAAACGGTTTTGACCAATCGGCAAACAGAAAAATTGAACTTTGACACTAACTATATAACAATTGTTATTAATAATTATTAATCCAACATCCTGTGGGCCGCCAAGAAACCCGCGTGCAATTACACAGTACAGATCTTCATCACGGGCTTAAAACTGTAGGGAGCCTCTTTAAGAATGCGTTTTTGACTCGTGTTCGTCAGTTTTTGACTCGTGTTCACTCGTGTTCGTCATTTTTGACTCGTGTTCACTCGTGTTCGTCATTTTTGACTCGTGTTCACTCGTGTTCGTCATTTTTGACTCGTGTTCACTCGTGTTCGTCAGTTTTTGACTCGTGTTCACTCGTGTTCACAATTTTTTGACTCGTGTTCACTCGTGTTCTGACTCGTGTTCACTCGTGTTCACTCGTGTTGTCTCGTGTTCACTCGTGTTCACTCGTGTTCTGACTCGTGTCGTCTTTTAGAATAGATCCGGACAACACTGGTTTGGTTATCATCGCAACAAATTGATTAAAGCAGGTTTATAACTCTAACTTATGATTGTCATTTAAATTACGTTTACTTCTAAATCGTTTTTGTGAAGTGTTTTGCTTACTATTAGGAGACGGCGAGCTGATTTCACTGCTCCGAGATGAAGTAGCCTGCGTGCGTATTTCACTAATAATTCCGAACTAAATCGCTTTATCTCATCCTCGCGTAAGAAAAATTTAGAATAATTCTTATGATGACCATATGAGTCATATTCGACCTTAAATTCGTACCTTTTCCTTTCATAGACATCATTTTCAGTATAAACAAATACACGCTCGAATACACGGAGAAAAACACGGCAAAGTTTTGAGACAAAACGCGTATGCCTTTGTGGGCGGGTCGCTAACGCTTTGTGGGCGTGGCGGTCGTGCGAAATTTTAGTGGCTCGCACACTTCGGTGACATCCGTAGTAGTCTATCATCCGATCCCTGAGTTGCCGCATCATTTAAATTACGTTCGTGCAGTCTCCAATTTTATACTAATATATTTAGCGTTTTTGTTGTGGTACGTTAAATGATAGATTGCGCATGCGTAACCGATTAAAGCGTAAAAAGTGCGCATGTGCAACAAGCTGTTACATCCCACAAGCAATGAAGCAAATGTTTTAGCTTAAATACGCTGATTCCAAGTAGGGCATGTTTGTCCATTTTTAAATGGGAGCGAAACTATGCTA